TATTATTATTATTATTATTATTATTATTATTATTATTATTATTAATTTTGGTTAGGGATTTTTTTTTTTTCTCTAAGAGATATCTCCCGAGCCCGACACATCCATGATATTCTGGATGCTCAACGAAGAGCCAAAAGTCCGTTTCCTCCACCCTTGGCGTGATCATAGAAAGGTTTGGGTTGGAAGAGACCTTAAAGGTCAGCTGGGTGGCTCCCAGTGGAGCCCCCTCCACTCCCTGGCATCGAGGGCTGCTGGCCGGGGGTGCAGCGTGATGCCTGCTGGGACCATTTTGGGTCTCCCAGCCGACGTTGGGGGGTGCAGGGACAGGGATGCGTCAGGGATATTTAAGGAAATAATCACGCACCAGACAGAGATTTGGATGCATTTTCGTTCCTTCTTCCCTGATGCCCCCTGCAGCCTCCAGAAACGGAGCTCCTTCACGTCTTCTTTCATAACGAACTCGTCTTAGGATGAATTTAAAAATAACGTTAATAAAAAAAAAATTTTAAAAAAAGGAAGAAATCATTGGATTAATCCCTCACGGTGTCCATCGCAGCACTGCTTTTCCCGGGCTGCGAAGAGGCGAAAAGGCGGCTGCGGCAGCCGAGGGCAGCGGTGGCGGCCCGAGCTTTCCAATTTCGCCCCTTAAATCCCAGCCCGGCAAGACGCTGCTAAAGCCGGGGCGAAGCCGTGCCCCGCTCGGCTTTCTCGACCTATCTGTGCACTCACATGTAATAATTCCCACGCAAAGCCAAGGATGCGCCACGCTCAGTCGCCCTCCTCCTCCGCTGCCATCAAAAAAACCAAACATTTTGGGGGGCTGGATGTAGAAGCATCCCCGCGCCGGGAGCAGAGGCCGAGAGACCCCTTAGGGGTACAGCCTTCACCGGGGATATTTTAGGTTTTTTTCTGTTTTTTTTCAGCCTTCTTGCACGCAATTTGTTTTTGGATTGTGGCTGAGGAAAAAAAAATAAAAAGGTATTTAAAGAGGTTATTTAGGGGGTTTTGCTCCCAGGAATTGGTTTTTTTCCCCCATGTCTGCTCGGTACCGCATCCCACCTGCAACCGCAGCCTGGGCGCTTCCTGCCTGCTCCCTCAAAAAAGATACTAGCAAATAATTTAGTGGTCGCTTTTCCTCCCATCTGTAGTAAAATAATGTTCTATTTTTGCCTTTCAAAACATCAAAAGAAACAGAAATTCCTCCCTCCCCCCACCTTTCAAATAACATATATATAACTTATAACATATTTTATATTTATATATATATATATGTAATATTTTTTTTAACAACGATTCAAAGGCTCTCCCGCCGCAGAGGGGACGTGCTTTCCCACACACCGCCCTCGAATGCCATCGCTCCCCCTGCCACTCTCCACTTGTCTGTGCCACACCACAGGACCGGGATTTCCCGTTGCCGTTGTCGGCTATGTTGGCCGCTCACCTCGGAAAAATTTAAAATAAATTAAAAATCGTAAGGCTTATAACATACAAACGAACATAAGCGCTTGGAAACAAACCGAAAATATCGGTATTTTGTTTAAAGAAAGGACAACCTCAGTTTTAGCTGGTGGGGACCGAGAGCCCTGCCCGGAGCATCCCCCGGGTGCCGGTGCCCCCCGCGGCCGGGCGGTGCCTGTGCGGTGCCATTGCGGTGCCACCCGGCTGCGGGCCCCAAACGAGATCTGTGCCCCTTGTCCCGCCGGTATTGGAGCTCCCTGATCCCAGGAATCGTTACAGAGATCTGAGCCCTCGCTCCCTGTGCGGGGGTGGCCATGCAGAGCCGTGTCCCCGGGGCAGGGGCCGCTGCCCAGGCCGCCCCTCGCTTCCAAAGGGGCCGAGCGTTTTAGGGGATAGAGAAAAAAAAACTAAGGGGATACGAGGAGGAAAATCCAGTTAAGAACCTGTCGAAAGTCGCCTGTCCGCCTCTTCAGCGGGGTTCTTTTGTTTCTCCGTGGGGAAGGGGCTGGCGGCCGGGGGCCTGCGGGCGGGTGCGGGGCAGGTGAGGGGCAGGGGGGC